ATGAGGTGCCTCAGGCTGGCTGGCTAGCACCCACAGGCATAAACACGTGGATGGGAGATCACCTACACCCCCATCATACCAGAGCATGCCTCGCTCGTAAACCGGGTGTGATAATGCCGGCGTCACCACGTGTTCACAGCCAGGTGAAATTCAAAGTCCAACAGGCCTGTAATATCACCACAATTACACTAGGAGTCCCTGCCCTTATTCCACCATTTGTCCATTAACATAGACAGGATATTCAAACCATCTGTTACACCATGAGGCCTGCCAGCTGCCTCATGGGTGAACACTGTTTCTGAGGTTTTTACTGTTCCTACCGTAATCTTTGGCCCCTGTTCACGCAAATTGGGCCTCGACACAACCCATGATAGCAGGAGTGCCATGCACGATAAGTATAAGGATGACACAGCGATTAACGGGGTGGGGGGGGGGGGGTGGAGGTGGCAGCCGCCACTTCCACCCAGTCACCTGCTCCTCAGCTTGCCGCCCAGCTCAGACTGACAATTTTAGCGGGCTAGGGAAACTCAAATGCCCATATCTCCCCCCTACCTTGTCTTGACCAATCAGCACATAGCCGGCACAACTCTATGGTGCCACTCCCAATCACAGCTGTTTGCGCCAAAACTCACCTAGAGGCGGAGGTGCCTAGACCAATCACAGACGCCCTCACCATGAGGCATCCCGTGACGTCACAAGGAGGGGGGAGGCCTAGTACAGGGTCTGCCTGTCTCACATGGTGGGGGAGGCGACGTTCACCCCTCTGTCCCCCCCCCCTCTAAAACCGTTAAGAGTCAAGTACCCTCTCATACCACTCACTCTCAAATCTCATCCCATTTCACAGAAACAGGAAAAATTCTGTAACTCTCTCTACAGAGCCATCACAGACCTCTGGCAAGTCTTAAACTACGGTCCTTAGCATAAGCTTTCATCCAACACCACACAAGTGCATGTAGTTTGAAAACTTCTTGTCTAGAGTCCATAGAGCGACTCTAGCCTAATCTAGGAAACTAGAAAAATTAGCTGAGGGAATCTTCATTCCCTCGCAATCTGACCATACCAGTGTTTCTTCAAAGTGGATGTTGCTTAAAGCCTTGATCAGATAATGAGCCAATCTTACTCCTAACAGTAGGGCTGTTAACTCCAGTTGTGGCAATGATCGTTTCTTTATCGGTGCCATCCTAACTTTTGATGTGAGCAAATTGGCTTGCTCATTTGATACCAGGAAAGCTACTGTGCCATAAGTCTTTCCTGAGGTATCGCAGAACACATGTAGCTTAAATGGTTGTTTTTCATTTACTGTGTTCCGAGGGAACTTGACAGACTCTAGGATACTTAGATCTTTCACTAGCTTCTGCCACTTTTCTTTAAGACAGGTGTATAAGATCATCCCACCTTATCTTCCGTTGCCAGCATTCCTGCATTATAAACTTCCCTTTATCAAGATTGGACTTAACAGTCCCAATGGGTCGAAGGGTTTGCTGAATTGGGATAGTAGTTTCCTCATTGTTAGGTTGGTGGTATCTGGCTCCACTGATTTCATGGTCAACTGATCTGAAGTTGTATTCCATTCGACGCATTGTAGTCTGGAAATTCTGTTTCGATCAGTTGATTTAAATTGGTATTATTGGAGACCCATGACTGGAGAGGCATATTTGCTCCCAATAATTCTCGATTGGCCTCATGGTCTTTCCATGTTTCCTTTTTACAGGCTTGTGCAGATTTGTTTTGGTACCTTCTGCAGAATTTGAACCTCTATTTAATTGATCTTTGGTCTTTTGAATACAGGTTCGTCTCGGCTTATTGACTGCGACGTGAGGTTCCAGATTCATCTAGACTGGCTAACATCCCCATCCTTTCATTGGGGTCTTGACAAGGGACTCGCACTGTTGATTGGCAGACATTTCATTTTTCAGGTGTTCCTCGGCAGCGCTTCTTATGCTCTGTTTGGGGACTGTCTGTTTGTTCTGCTGCTCCCCAGGGATGTGGGCAAATAACAGCTTCATGTGCAGCTGCCTGTGTTGTCCAGAGGTTCCATTGTGGATGACCACAAGACGAGTTTGCACTTATTTGGTGGTCTTGTGGGTTTGGGTCATGGTGGAGCAGTTTCTCTAGCCAGCTCTGTGAGGATGTTGCATTGCTTGGTACTGCCCTGGGTGTGGAGTCCTTGAAGTCTGCAGTTTTTCTCATGGCTGCCTTGCCCAAAGATGCTCACCCCTCTTTTTTGGGAGGCAATGGTAATATTTTATTCAGCCTTCCTCGTGTGTTGACAGGCTGTGTTGACCTATTCTGTGATTTGACTTAGTCCCTTATCCTTTTGTTCACCTCCTCATTTTGTCCTCTCCTCTTTCTGGAGCATTTGGATGGGTTCAGACCCCACCCACCCACCCTTTGTTGTGTCTTGTCCTGCAGTTTTTTTGGGGTTCATTTATGTGGTGTCATCCTCTTACTGATGCTTCGGCTGTGGGTTGGGCTTCGTAACCAGCGATCACTGGGCTGCCTAGACTTGGTGGTCTGGCTCATTCCTTTTGGGCAGATATCATGAATTTGCAGTTGTGCGGCATGACCTAAGGAGGAGTTGGCTCCTTAGGCCATGAACTGGGTTCCATACCTTGGCTTCACTCCAACTGCTTCCCTGTGGTTCATTGCCTGATCAGGAATGGTGGTCATTTTGGCCCAATGCCCTGTACAGCGGGACACTTTGAGTAGTTTGGCTTCTTTGGAGAACTTGGAGTTTGGTTCTCCACATGGTTCACATGCAGGGTGTGTCCATGGTTCTTGTGGATGGGTTATCTCACTTTTGCCCCATTTCTACAGAAAAACGTGCCATTCTATTGGATCGGTGGAACGTTTGTTCAACCTGAGGTGGACCTCTTCGCGTCTGCATGGAACAGGTGTTTTTCCACCTACATGGTTTCGTTCCCTGATTGTCAGGGCCTTGCGATGGATACCTTCTGACTGGACTGGTTAAGGTGGAGGTGCATTTATCTTTTATCCTCGATTCAGTTTTTGTTCTGGGTTATTTCCATTCTGGAGTTGTATTTAAAAATGGTGATCCTTCTTGTCCTTGGTGGCCAGTTCAGCCTTGGGTTGTGGCATTTCTAGCATTGTGTCTGAATCAGGCATTTTCCATGGCTTAAAAATTTTGGAAAAATGGAAAATGGAAAAGTCCATTTTCTCTTTCAGCAGGTCAGCCTGGTGTACTTTGCTGGTTAGATCATCTCCTATTCTCTTTGTGTTTGGAGTTTTTGATGCATGTCTGTCACCATTTGCATGGCGAGCAGATGGCTGGTTTGCCGAGGGTCCCACGTACATTATTATCGAGGCAGCAGTATGAGATTGCATGTAGCTTGTTTCTCCACACTCTCTCTCTCTCTTCGTCATCTCACTTCAGTTTCAGTCATGGCTTTCCTTCTTTTTCTTGATTGTTTCTAGATTGGCATCTCATACCTAATACTGTTGCCTTTTATTGCTCAGCATTGGCGGAGCTGCTGGTGCTTGCGTTCTACACAAACATTTCCTCGACGCTGCTCCACAAGTTGTCCCGTGTGTTTTTTCACCTCTGGCCAGTTCATGTTTCTTCCAAGCCATCCTGGTCTATTAACTGGGTGTTAGTCTTCCTCTCTTTGCCTTGTTTTATGGTTTCCCCTTTGACTTGACATCTTCCTCAAAGCTGTGTTTTTGTTGGCTCTTGTCCTTGCTTTAGGGTTGGAGAGCTTGAGACTCTTCTCCTGAGGCACGAGAGTCTCTTCATCCCTGGTGGGTAGTTTGTTTGTTTACAACCTTCTCCTATTTTGCTGGTGAACAATGAGTCAGCTTTTGGAGGGGTCTGTTGGGGAGTGATGCTTGGTTAGTCCAGCTGCTGGTGGATCACTTGTGTCTGGTGGCGACTCTTTGCTGATATCTCTGGTCGCAGTGGACGCCTTGTTACATGACCCTGTTTTCTTGGTCACTTGTTTAAAGGTTTGTGTTTACCCTTGGGCCTATGCCGTTTGCGAGTATACTGCCTTGGCTGCATCCTTCTCCAAAATGTCTTTGGCTGATATTTGAGCTTTGGATTTAGGCATTCTAAAGGGATGCTGGTGGCCCAGTATTCAGCTAATGTCCCTGGTCCCTGTCAGTCCTTTCTTGCCTTGGGCTCTCTCCCCCAATCTGAATTATCTTTTATGTCCTAGTGCACACTGCTGCTGCTCCTCTTCCCTGGCAAATCTCCATTTTATTTTCTGTGGTTAGCTTCAGGAAGCTACTGGGGGTTCCCCTAGCAACCAGTGCTGATTGCAATGAAATGCCTGTTTCTGAATGAAGCCAAGTGGCTTCCTGACTCCCTGTCTTCCTATCAGGCTGGTTGGTTCATTGGTGGACTGTTCATCAGATCCAGCACTGGGTAAGGAAGACGGCTGCATGTAAAAGCCGAGCTTCCTGGTGGCGGCATTTGGTATTATGAGTTTTGCACTAATTTTTAATGTTTCTTTTGTTCTGCGTGAATTGTTTGCAGAATTGTTTGGCGATTTTGAGGCTTTGGCCTTTGTTATCTTTTCAGTTGTCTGTAAATCTTTGCTGACTTTCTTGATGCTTCTTTGGTGTAATGGTGAATTCTCACTCGCTCTCAGTGCCTCAGAGGGGGGGAGAAAGCCAGATTTTGGCTCTGGTCCCTAGTGTGCCAAACTGAACTTTCACATCTGATGTGACCTATTTGCATGGAACATTCTCAGTGAGATAGCTTCAGGGAGACACTGACGCTCATCCAGAAGTGTTTTGTTACATTCAATGCTGGTTTTTTGTGTGTATTTACATAACTGCAAATGTATATCGATAGTGACATTCAAAATTAGCTACAGCAAGTCAGCCAGTAATACTCCATATCCATATGTAGTAAGGAATTTTTTACTATTATGAGTTCTGTAGTCAATAGAGGCCATAGCCATATGTAAAGTCTATTTCTCTTGGGCTGTGTCATATTTAACTTTCATTGTCATAAATGTTTTTGGCTTATCCATCAGCAGTAGTGTGGGTAATGGCCGTCGCGGGGCGGGTAAGCGGGCGCGAGGGACAGGGATTCTCAATGGTCATCATGGTCGGCCTCGACCTAATGGTCATCCCCTCCAGCAGCAGAATCCCCAAGACATCCCGCAGCCACTGTCCCCAGTTTCACCCCATGCTATACCCCAAGCCTCGCCCCAGCAACCATCATCCATACTGTCTCAGACACAAATTCCATTTAGAGACATGCCCAAAACACAAGGTATTTAATGTTGCATTAGGTTTTGTTTGTAAGTATCGTCAGTTGTAAAAGTTGCTCCTTCACGGTAAGTAGCTAAATTAGCTAAATTGGCAGTGCACATTTTTATTTGTATGTTAGGTGAATGTAAAAGAAACACATTTCTATTTGTGGGGGTTCTTTTTATTCTAAGTACTTGTACCTGTACTATTAAGACTAGTTTAAGATGTTTTAGAGTGTGAAGTTTAAGATAAGGGTGTTATAGTATAGTATAGCTAAAGAATTTGTATAGTTACACAGCATCATTGTCAGTAATGTACACCTGTTCAGGAGAATTGCCATACAAAAAGATAACTGGATTATCTTGAGTGCGTGAGCGAATGGCACACATTTCCATCTTTGGCATCCGGGCCACTAAAGGAACCCCAGTCGTGATCACAGACGAGTCACTCGTCAAGGGCATCCCCTGTACAGAGTGAGAGAGAGAGCTGTAAGTTCTGGGAACGACACATCGGGGTACAGACTCCCTCACCAGGTGCACCGAAAAATGCCATACAAAGACACTCTTCAAGCTGCCAAATACTAGTGGAATAGGCTATATACAGTAGCCTATTCTCATGATTCTTACAGTTGCGCCGGGACTGCCCGAGTTGTCTCCTTCACTGGCGCACCGCCACTGTGGGAATCATCTGCACACCTGGGCTTCATTGAGGCCTTTCATCTGGTGTTTTGACACACGATCAGAAACTTACACCACCTTAACATAGCCTTGCCCCCCAGCACAAATTAGTCTCTCCCCACACTCCAAAATAATTCATCTTTCTCTCAGTGGTTGTATTTTAGCAAGTGTAAATGTGTATATTCAGTTCAATACACCAGGCAAATACACACAGAAATCACAATAGCATGATACATCAAATGAACAAATTCACAGTCAAATTAAGTCCCCCCCCCCCCCTTTAGGGGGAACATGATCACCACGTACAAGATTCTCAGAGGAATTGACAGGGGTAGATAAAGACAGGCTATTTAACACAAGGGGCACACGCACTAGGGGACACAGTCCCCTAGTGTGTGTGCCTCTTGATAATTATAGGTAATTAGGTAATTAGGTAATTACAGGTGGAAATTGTGTGCCCAAATGAGCCACAGAGATATCAGAAAGAACTTTTTTAGTGTCAGAGTGGTTGACAAATGGAATGCATTAGGCAGTGATGTGGTGGAGGCTGACTCCATTCACAGTTTCAAGTGTAGATATGATAGAGCCCAATAGGCTCAGGAACCTGTACGCCAGTTGATTGACAGTTGAGAGGCGGGACCAAAGAACCAGAGCTCGACTCCCCGCAAGCACAACTAGGTGAGTACAAGGGCTGTGAAAGGTTCGAACCCACGTCTGAGATTTGTCAGAGATGTCGGACTACAAATCCTTGTGGATTTATTCACCAGGCAAATACTGTGGAACCTCGAATAATGAATTTAATCCGTTCCAGCACTGAGCTCGTTATGTAAAACGCTCGTCTTTCTAAACGAATTTTCCAATTTAAAATAATGGGAATCAAATTAATCCGTTCTACCACCGAAAACATCAATATGATATTCAATGTTTTAAATAATGGAGCAGTCTACCTTACATACACTGAACAAACCTTTATGACATTTTTCTTTCTTCAAATTTCACTTTTTTTTTTTTTTATTATTATAATAGCAAAAGGTTCGTTCAGTGTTTGTCAGATAGGCTGGTCCATGTTTCTTAAAAAAAAAAAAAATACACAGTCAAGCAAATGCAAAAAATTACTGAGCAATAGTACTAACATCACACACCATAAAAATCTTGTAAAAGTGTGCTAAAAAATAAGATAAGATGTGTAGTCACAACATCTGCACAACTGGAGGACACGGGTTTAGATCAGGATGTTCCTGCCTCTCACAAATGTTAGACCACTATGACATGGCCTTAGATGCAATGGAAGGCAAGCAAAATACTGATGTGGTTATCTTGAGATGATTTCGGGGCTTTAGTGTCCCCGCGGCCCGGTCCTCGACCAGGCCTCCATCCCCAGGAAGCAGCCTGTGACAGCTGACTAACACCCAGGTACCTATTTTACTGCTAGGTAACAGGGGCATAGGGTGAAAGAAACTTTGCCTATTGTTTCTCGCTGGCGCCCGGGATCGAACCCAGGACCACAAGATCACTAAGTCCAGCGTGCTGTCCACTCGGCCGACCAGCTCTCTGTGATATACACAAAATTCACAATAGCTCTTTAAGAAAGGTGACCATGGTGTTATTGCACACAAAATGTGCATGAAGGAATTTCTGGCAAAGTTGGAAGATGGACCGTCTTAGTCAATATAGTAAAATATGTACCATCTACAGTGAAAAGCTCAATCTCCCAAGGTACTGTGTTCCAGTATATTTTCTCATTCTCATATTGAGCATAGACAGACATAAACTATATTACCGTATTCACACACACAGAGATCACACTAACGTGATGCATCAAATGAACAAATCAAATGAATTTATATTACCGTATTGTTGTTTCTAGATGAGTAGGATTTTTATGCGTGCACAACATAAGAGGACACAGGAAACCTTCAAATTTGTGTAAAAATCAGGTCTTCCAATGAGCTGCAGAAAACATGTTGAATGAAGATATATTTCAGTGACTTTGCTATCGAACAGACCGCACATAAAATTCAGTCAAATCCCACAATAGAAAGAAGAAGTATCATGTAAGATTTGGGAGTAAGCATGTCGGAAGACCTTACTTATAAAGAACTCGGTAAAATCGTTGTCACAAATGCAAGAAAAATGACAGGCTGGATAACAAGAATCTTTCAAACAAGAGATGCCAAAACAATCATGACACATTTTAAGACACTAAGTCCTCTCTAGGGTAGAATATTGTCGCACACAAACAGGCCCATCCAATGCTGAAAATATTGCTGGCCTGGAGAACATGCAGAGATCTTTTACTGTTTGAATCCATTCAATAAACCATCTAAATTATTGGGTAAACATTTAAGATTTCTTAAACAGTATTTTCTAGAGTGCAAACGAAAGTGATGAATAATAATTTACACTGGAAAAATATTAAGGGGGACTGGTTCCAAATCTGCATATGGAAGTAACACCACATGAGACCAGGAGACATTGCTGGATATTTAAAATAGCCTTGTTGAAAAAGTGTTGCATTAGGTATGCTAAGACACAGTACTGTCAACATTAAGGGACCAAGACTTCAACACACTTCCTCTAAACATAAGGGGCATAATTAATCAACCTTTCATGGTAATGAAAAGGAACTTGATAAACACCATAAGGGATCCCTTATCAACCAGGCTGTGACTTATATGTCAGACTGTGGGGGCCAGCTGTGTCTAACAGCCTGGTTGACCAGAGTACCAACCAGGAAGCCTGGTAAGAACTGGGCCACAGGAACATTGATCCCTGGCACCTGCACAAGTATTGCAGAATTTCTTACCTGGAATGTCCAAATATTAACACAGTAAATGTAACATATTTTTTTGTACCACAATACCCCAACCTGGTTACTCCCACCATTTTCTCTTGCATTTTCATTGTTTACCTTACTTACTCCTACTGTTTTCCTGGTTACTCTGTTTACCCCATGCATTCCCATGGCTTATCTGCTTATTCTAGCCATTTACTTGAAAATGGTGAACACATTCATTCGGATTACTAGAATTTGGATTATATTTTATGTACTATACATATATAATTAATTATACTGCATATAATTTTTTTTAATGCCAAAGGATGTTAGACTATACTGTCTAGTAATGTATGTATGTATGAGAGAGAAATATTTGTAAGTAATTTTTGTAAGTTTCTTGATTACAGTTTTGCTTTCAATATTTGTATGTTAATATTCATCAAAATATTTCTTGACATTGCATAATATCACAAAGTATGTCTTGCTATGGGTATTTATTAGATTATTATCATTCTTAAAAATGTGTTTGACATTCTTGCAGCCTGTCTGAAGAAGCTAAGCGGCGCAGTAATAGCTCCAGCTATATCCACGTCACTTGTAACTGCGAGTAAAGGAAGAGAGCGTTGGGGAGGGTGGCTCGGTGGTTCACTGGGCTCCCACGGTGGACGGAGTGAAGTTTCTCGACAGCATGCCAACTCCAGTCCTCTGCACTCTTCTGAGCTGAGAAGTTCTGGCTTTGACATGACTAAACTATATCCCGAGTTGTCTGCCAAGCTGGGCCTCACCAAGCACAATCCAAGTGACAATATACATAACCATAAAAATGGCATTACTGTCAGAGAAAATTTTACCTCAGGCCCTTTAAGAAAACTAGAAACTGTGACAGATGACTCTAGAATTAAGGTCGTTTCTACTGGCCAGATTATTAACAATACAAAAGGACTTATAGCTGCCAAACTTGGTAATGGAGTTCAAACTAGTAAATCCAGTAGTGTTAAGCCATCAAAGCCAAAGCCCAGATGTAGTGATAGAGGGCAGAGAAGGGGGAATCACAGTCGGACAAGCGGAAGACCAGACGGCATCTCTTCAGGAACAGTACACACTTCCACCCATGGGCTAGGTCCAGCTCCTAGCAAGGGACCAAGCTCATCTAGCAGCATCAAAAGTACTGGTACCATCAATATCCGAAGTGAAAGCAACAGTTGTAACACTAGTAGTATACTGGAAGAACAGCTTAGAGGGGGAGTCAACCAGCGGCAAGTGGTAGCTGTGTCGCAAAGTTTAACCTTGAATCAATCTAGGATATCGCAACCAACTCTCCCTAGACCTGTTGCGGTGTCTGCTTCTCTCACTCTATGTAAGTAAACTTTAGACATTTTTATACCAGTAGATATTTGCTGTATATAATTTTGATGTATTATATCTGCTATTTTTATTTCATTAACACTATCACGCCTGGAGCGTGTGCGCCGCAGACTTTAACGTCATGCTCCCGGCAGTGCAGGTGTACGTGCGGCGACACCGAAATGTGTATACTCGTTTCAGTTTTCTCACCTTAATTCTCGTGCTACATCATCCGTTTTGGTATCAGTGTTCACAATAGAATTACCTACAGGTGTATATGCATATAATGTCCAAAAGCCCGGCGTGACTCCCCACTGCAAAGCCTAAAGTCGGTAAAAGTTACCTGTGAGCGCACAAAATCAGTAAAATGGTATACTCGTTTCGGTTTTCTCACCTTAATTAATTCTCGTGCTACGTAGTTTGTTTTGGTATCATTGTGTTCGCAATTATATTCCCTGCAGGTGAATGTGTATATATAAGGTCCAAAAGCCTGGCGTGACTTTCTGCAGCAAACCCCAAAGTTACCCGTGAACGGGCACCAGTTGGCACACTGCAACCTAATGTGTGTACTCGTTCAGTTTGATAACGTCAATTTTCGTGTTTCGTCTTTCATTTTGGTATCGAATTGTTCACAATATAAAGGCGCGTATTTTAAAACTAGTCCCATAATAATAGAGTAATAAATGGAATTTTAACAGATATTTTAAATTTTGACGCTCATCACAAAATTATTTACTGTATATCTTTCCAATGTTCTGACATCAATTTTCGTGTTACACCTTTCATTTTGGTATCAAATTGTGCGCAATCTAAAGGCGCTCATTTTAAAACCACTTCCAGATTGATCGGATAAAATTAAAATTTTTAACAACTATTTTAAAATGTTGGATGCCGCTCGCGTCCACGACTCGGACACAAGAGAAAAATTGTGGACGCCAGGGGTGTTCGAAGAGTGCGAAAGTGTTACTTGGCTAGAAGAGAAACTAAAACACATTACCATTACAAGAGTAGAAATGACTTACATGTCAAGGGTAGACAAGTGTTGATAAAAATATGCAATTTCACATTCAGATATAATCTCTAGATTCTCCAGTTGAAAAGCACTTTCTACTCAGGGGTATGATCAGCATGGCAGTTTCCATGATTACCATGGCCTGGTAATTTCATGATGCTGGTTCATTTTCCTTCCAATGTATTCAGGTATATGCAGTAGGAATTCAAAATTCCTTTTACAGGATTGTATGTTGTTTAAATTTGTTTAGGTGTCCATGCACTATTTAGAGAATATTAGTATTTCATCTTGAAACATTGAACACATGCATGTGGCAGTGCAAGGAAGATCTCCATTGTTATTGAGCAGCACAGCTTCCTGGTAGGAGATATAAGAATTATTTAATTCTTGTATTATTTATTTGTATATATGTACAGTGTGTGTGTTTGTAATTACTGAAGTGTAGTTACAGGATGAGAGCTTCGCTCGCAGTGTCCCATCTTCCCAGTATTTTTTGTCATATAACTCTTTGAAACTACTGACAGTTTTGGCCTCCACTACTGTTTCACTGCGGTTGTGTGGTGCCCATATCTTAAGAAGCACATCAACAAACTGGAAAAGGTGCAAAGACATGCTACTAAGTGGATCCCAGAACTGAAGGGCAAGAGCTACGAGGAGAGGTTAGAGGCATTAAATATGCCAAAACTGGAAGACAGAAGAAAAAGAGGTAATATGATCACTACATATAAAATAGTAACAGGAATTGATAAAATCGATAGGGAAGATTTTCTGAGACCTGGAACTTTAAGAACAAGAGGTCATAGATATAAACTAGCTAAACACAGATGCCGAAGAAATATAAGAAAATTCACTTTCGCAAACAGAGTGGTAGACGATTGGAACAAGTTAGGTGAGAAGGGGGTGGAGGCCAAGACCGTCAGTAGTTTCAAAGCGTTAAATGACAAAGAGTGCTGGGAAGACGGGACACCACGAGCGTAGCTCTCATCCTGTAACTACACTTAGGTAATTCCACTTAGGTAATTACTGTCTCACTTAACTTGTTCCAGCCGTCTACCACTCTGTTTGCAAACGAAAACTTTCAAATATTTTTTTGACACTTTTGTTTCCTTCGCTTGAATGTGTGACCTCTTGTTGTTGAGGTTTCAGGTTTCAGGAATTCCTCTTTGTCAATTTGTCAATTCCTGATATTATTTTTAAAAGCTGATCATATCACTTATTTTTCTTCTATCTTCAAGCTTTGGAGTATTTAATGCCTCTAGCCTCTCTTCATTACTCTGTTTTTCAGTTCCAGAAGCCATTTTGGAGCATGCCTTTGCACCTCTTCCAGTTTATTTATGTTCTTCTTACGATACAGGCACCATACAGCGGCTGCATATTCCAATTTTGGTGTCTCAAAAGTCATTAGCAATTTCTTTAGTATTTCACCATCTATCCACAAACTCACATTTTCTTTTTGTTTTAATAGCATCAACGTCGGCCTCCCCTGGTAGGAGTCTAGTCATGACGCCCACCACCTACCTTCCTTCAGTGACCACCCATCAGACTCGAGTGGTCACGTTACTTCCTCGGAGGCTTCCGCCACCTGCCATCACCGGTACTGCTGCTGCCACTCTTCCCGAGCCTCTCTTACGGGTCCACACGCTACGGGAAAAATATTACGCTTATAATTCCGATCTCTTTCCCTTAGGTAAGTCGGCTCCTATTTTATATTTTCACGCCACAATGGGAACCTGTTTGTTCCGGGCACCATTTATTCTGGTTCGGACCTTATCCAGAAAGAATCTTATCTGTGTGTATATTTCTCATATAGCATAACCCTGATTATCCAGACCAATGGGTACCTGTGAGTGTGTGAATAAGTGAAATGCAGGTGTATTACTTATATAAATAATGGGGTGACATCATTGGGGTATGGGTCAGGTTGGCTGTGAGGGAGCTTTATGTAGTGTTCTACACCCACACTGCTTAACTTGTTGTTTGGTGCAGGATTTTAGATTAGTTCTTGTGTTCATTAGTTTTCTAATTCCCAAATCTTTCACTATATTAATCCCTGCACTGCGCACCTGTTTTTGGCAAAAACGTCATAGTGCAATTGTTAAGGACACATTTTTGTTGTTTTTATAAATGTTCAGGTAAAGTTAATGTCAAAATGTTTCCAAACTGAACTATTTTAATTTCCGAAGCTCTGTCCACCTAGCTGTCAGGTGCACCTTGAAAACATACAATTAATAAATGTCTATTCATGTGACATTTACATGTTATTTATGGTTCTAGTGATGATAAACATTATTTTTTTCTCACAAATTTTTTAAGGCAAGATAGCACAGATAGGTTACTTTGATTAACATTCGCATTCCTTGGACTTGGACTTGAGTCCACGTACTTGAGATACTGTGTTTTAATTTGGAAGAAAATAAATTTATATGGAAAGCAATGTTTACCTTGCTTCTTAGGAATGCATGCCACTTATACAGAAGCCTCCCGACTTCATGAAAACAAATTATTTAAAGTAACAGTGTTACTTAATATTATTTTGTAATATATTATTTTTCTGTGGAGAGCCCCTTCGGTTCCCTGGAGCTATTCCAGGCTGATGTGTATATAATTAGACCATGGCAACAGTCAATCGATGGAGTTCTCGGCCTACCGGGGCTACGAGCCAGAACCTGGCCCCCTCAGAGAGGCACAAGGAGCACTGCCATCTGCCTGGTGCCTGACCTGGTTAGGCACCAGGCAGATGGCAGACATAGACTGCTTCTAACTACATGGGGGTGTCTATAGGTCATAGCTCCTCGTGCCTCTCTGAGGGGGTCAGTTTCTGTCTCATAGTCCTCGGTAGGCCTAGAACTCCATTGATTGACTGTTGCCACGGTCTAATATATACACAACAGCCTGGTATAGCTCCGGAGAGCCGAAGGGTCTCGCCCAGAAAATTGCATTTCATTACATTTAATGCTAGTTTTATTTATTTTTATGCTTCCAAATTATAAAAAGTCTCCCTCAAACTTTTTGACCTTTATCTAAGACAGTATAGGAAAAATGTTTTGAAAGTACTTGAAGGCTGCCGACTCCCTATCTAGAGCTGTGACATGTCACTCATATGTCGCCAGCTGTTGGGTACCTTCAAGATGTGTTCCTTAAGCTGTCTGAGGCAAAAGTTATGCCTCAAACTCAAAAGCTTGAGGGAAATAATCGGCATTTTCTATACTTTGGGAGCATAATCAATCGGAAAATAACATACCCAGGGGAAAAAAATTGTTCGTATTATATGGCAATTATTTGCATGTGCACATTACATAATGACTAGGATTTGAGCACTTAAGTTCAGCCATTCATGGTATAAAATACACAAAAATTAATTTATTACGCATTCTTCACATATTGAGCAATTATTGGTGAACAATTTGGCATCAAAATTGCATACTGTATAAACAATCATTATTGAAACCAAAAACGTAAAATGATTTAAGAACTTTTTCATAAAACTGTGGTGAGGGAGGGGAGGAATGCCCTCCCCTCCATCCCACTCTCCCTCTTCCCCATGCCTGTTAGTGAGCTGATGCTCTCACCTCCCTCATGCCATCTCGCATCACTCTCGTGAGTCATATCAATTTTCTGCCCAGTGGAAAAGTATTTCTACTTTTTCTTACCATCTTACCACTTTTGGCCGGTGGGAATGAATATTGCGTCCATAAATAACTCCACGGATGTCCGTCGGGGACACATGTTGCGTCCAAAATTAAAATATTTGTTAAAATTCCATTTTTTCCCCCAATCATTATGGGACGTGTTTTAAAATGTTTCCATTTTCTGTGATGGCCCATGTGGCATCATGGCATCGCCTCCTACGCGGTTGGACAATTGTTATCGTGTCTACTCTCGTGACTGCTGCAGCCTTTCCTTGCGTCCAACATGTGTGCCCGTTCCGGCTATTTTCCTCAGTTATATTTGTTACTTCCTTTATTAACACTACATTTACTCCAAGATGGATAATGATCAAGAACAGAGCCATTCCAGGATGAAAGCAGGGAAAGAAATATGTCTGAAGGAGATATGTCTGAAGGAGAAGCTAAGTAGTGTTCGCCAAAAGTACTGCAAAGTGAAACTCACCAACAAAATTCCAGGCTATAGTTGAAGAATTTTCTGATCTTGATCTTGAAAGTGCCTAAAGGGACAGTGATGTAGATAGTGAGGTGGTTAAAACTGAAACAGCAGGTGAGGATGAAATTGAAAGTGAGGGGAGTGGTGGTGGTGGTGGTGGTGGTGATGGTGATGGTGATGATACAGCCACACATGCAGGGCCTGCTATTAGAAATCTTACCGGACGTACCGCTTGTACCCAACATACCTCATGCTCCAGTTCTGGTGAAGCCTGGTCTACTGACAACGCTGCACCATTTGTAGACAGTTTTACTGGAATACCAGGCTTGACTGTACCAGTACCAAGCACTCCTCTGGAATTTTTACATTTATTAAGCGAAATTTGCTGAAATTTATGGGACAGTATATTGAAACTTGTACTGGCAAACAAGTAAATTGTAGCATGTACCTTCTTTCAATACTTTTATGACTGCGAAACAATATGAATTGATTGCAAAGTATTTTCATACTTATAACAATAATGCCATTCTCAAAGACAATCAAGACAGACTAATGAAAGTTAGAACATTCATAGAATATCTCACATAAATGCAAAACATTATACATTCCTCAGAAAAATCTGTGTTTGGATGAAGGCACAATGTCATGGGAATACACACAGAATGTTATGAAGAAAGAGGTCAACAATAGTTGCTACACACTGGATGAAGACGTGTACAATAAAGACAGACCACTTCAGTAACCTACTAACTTGTCTTCTGTGTGATGCAAGGGCAACGGAGAGCATGATGGATCGCTGACAGCTCGAGCCACCTGATAAATGTGATAAACTTGCAGGATCCACCCAACTCTGCTGTCAAGCTTTCAAGGTTTATAAACCAAATAAACCTGATAAGTATGGCGTAAAGCTGTACATGCTTGCTGAATCGCATACTGATTACATCTATGATTTTGAAGTGTATGCAGGAATTGGGAAGACAACAATTCAAACGGTTATGGGCTTGATTGAACCACTGAAGAACAAAGTGTTACCATTTATATATGGATAACTACTGTAACTCGGTTCAACTGAGTGAGAAGCTGCTTGAACAAGGTGTATACACCTGTGGTACTCTCAGATTGCAGTGTGGTGCACCAAAAGATCTTCAGCTACAAGCAAAGGGTAAACTGCCAGTAGTTAAAACTATTTTGATGGAAAGACAATACCTTTATAATTCTGTGGAAAGATAAGCGAGTTGTTTCACTCGTCACAATTTGCTCCAATGTAGATACGCAGGAAGTGGAACGAAGGAAATAAGTACGCAAACCTGACGGAGCATCTTCATTGCAACAGGTCACTGTCAACAAACCAGAGGCAATCTGTACCTACAATAACCACATGAAAGATGTAGATCACTTCGACCAAATGGTCAAATATTATAATTTCAATGAAATATCACAAGTGAACGAAGAAAATTATGTTCTACTTTCTGCAAATTGCCCTTATTCCATTGGCCCTATTATGCATATAATATGGTAATCTATTGAATGCTTTAGAGCATTCTATTGCAAACAATTTGATACCAAAATGAACAATGTAACACGAGAATTGATGTTATCAAACAGAGAAGAGTATTCACATTTAAGTGTGGGTGTGTGCTGGTGGGTGCTCGCTCATGGGTAACACTTCGCTGATTTCCAGTTTGCTGCGGGTGGGGGGGGGGCTTTTTGAACTTGTATGCATATATTCCTTTAGAGAATTCTATTGCAAACAATATGATACCAAATGAATGACGTACTACGAAAATTGAGGTGAGAAAACTTAAGAGTACACACATTTTAGTGCGGGCATGCGCTCACGTGAAATGCTTGGTCCACCTTGGGGTGGGTCCGGGGCGTGCATGCCGGGCCACTCAAAGTGTTAAGTACCTTATATTGAGATGATTTTGGGGCTTAGCGCCCCCGTGGCCCGGTCTTCGACCTGGGCCTCCTTTTTGTTACACATCCCCAGGAAGTAGCCCGTAGCAGCTGTCTAACTCCCAGGTACCGATTAAATGCTAGGTGAGCAGGAGCATCAGGGTGAAAAACTCTACCCATTTGTTTCAGCCTCCGCTGGAGATTGAACCCGGAACCTTAGGACTACGAATCCTGAGCGGTGTCCACTCAGCCGTCAGGCCACGATGGCTCCTGCAGTAAGACATCCTGTTAATAAATAAGGCAAATTACAGTCCAGAACTGTAATGAGTTCATGTAACTCTGTTGTAATTGCATAAACTTTTTTCCTCAATATAAGCCATGGTTAGTTTATTTAAACTTCTTATTGTATCCTCTTCAAGAATTCATTTTGTTTTAGGCGTTGAGACGAGCGAGGAGAGTGATGGCAGTGACACAGATGACCTTTGTGGGAGTCAACAAGGCTGGCTAGACCCCAATGATGGCCCTTATGAAAGATACCAAAGTTGGGTGAACAATACTCATGAGTTGAGTGGGAGACAGCAGAGTTGGGTGGATCCTGCAAGTTTATCACATTTATCAGGTGGCTCTAGCTGTCAGCGATCCATCATGCTCTCCGTTGCCCTTGCATCACACAGAAGACAAGTTAGTAGGTTATTGAAGTGGTCTGACTTTATTGTGCATGTCTTCATCCAGTGTGAAGTAGCTATTGTTGACGTCTTTCTACATTCATAACATTCTATGTGAATTCCCAGCAGGTGTTTCTTTATTTATGCCATCTTTCTCAGCAAGGGGCTCCCCCCCCCCCCCTCAGTAGCTCCCCCTTACCCTATTGCAGTGAACCTGGTGATGGCACTGATAAGTCATCCACATGATACACACCATAACAGTTGCCTAACTCCTAGAGTACATGTTTATTGTTAGGTGACAGTCATCGGGTAAAAAGGAAATGTGTCCACTTGTCTCTGTCCTATCTTGAGGTTATCTTGAGATGATTTTGGGGCTTTAGTGTCCCCGCGGTCCGGCCCTCGACCAGGCCTTCACCCCCAGGAAGCAGCCCGTGACAGCTGACTAACACCCAGGTACCTACTTTACTGCTAGGTAACAGGGGCATAGGGTGAAAGAAAGTCTGCCTATTGTTTCTCACCGGCGCCCGGGATCGAACCTGGGACCACAAGATCACAAGTCCAGCATGCTGTCCGCTCGGCCGACCGGCTCCCTAGCTCCCTACCATGGAAAGAGAACCCAGAATCCTCATTTGTGAGCCGATGACATAGTTCACGGCAACAGAGGAACCCGTTTTATGGGACGCATGAGCCCCACACACTACCAGGTGTATATGTGATGTATATGTGATGTTAGATACCCAGAGGCATAGGCCTTGGCTAGAGAATCTACCTGGAGCTATCGGGCTAATGTGTGATATATTAGACTGGGACAATATTCTATGGAGTTCAGCCTACCTGGGACCACGAGCCAGAACCTGGCCTCTCGGAGAAGTTCAGGGAGTAATGGCCCTGGAAAATCCCCCTGTGGTTGGGGGTTTTCCTTATCTGCCATCGACTGGGGTTAGGCACCCAGAATGGTAGGCATAACAAAACAATCCCCACATGGTAAGAAAATTAGAACCAAAAGCCGAAAAAAAGGCAGAACTCCCTCCAATCCCAAGGAAACAAGCAAATGCCACCCTCCACTGCTGCCCTACTCATCAGTGCAGCCCTTCTCTCCTCGAGAGGGGGAGGAGGGAGCCCTAGGCCTCCCCGCGCCGGCTACCTAGCACTCTAGTTCGTTCGCTAATGTGGTCCGGGGGTGGATGTCTTCTCTGACCTCGATTTCCAAGGCAGTATTGTGCGGTCATGGCAATCCTTGCAGTGTTGTTGTGTGTGGTGGCCAGGTGTCCTCATCAGTGCTGGGGCTGCATGAGCTTAGGGGCATCCTTCCCTAGGCACCCTGTGAGTACTGCCCTTGAATGTTGGGGCTCCCTTCCCTGGTGCATTCGGGAAAACCATTTCCATAGAGATTTTTGCTGTTCGGCATTTATCCTGCCCTTGGGGCCAGCTGGGGTTTCGTGGCCCTTGTTTGGTCATGGGTAGGGAGTGGTATCGTGCTGTTTGGGGCGTCAAGGTGTTGTGCAGCCTGCCTACCTACGCGGCGGCTGGTTCCTGTTTCCTCTGAGGACGTTGTACTTTTGCGGGGCTTTTCTTGTTTTTCATCCTTGGAGGGGGGTCTGCCTGGTGTGGCTATAGTTCAACTTATAATATTTTGGTGGCCCTCTGCTAGTCCCCCATGATTGTACACATCACACGGGTTTCAATGTTTTGATCTTCTCCTTGTTAGCTTTGGGTCTTAATCGGTTTGCCCGATTAAGTCCCAAATGCTACACCTTGCCCGGGCTTCCTGTAGCAGTCAACCTACGAGCCTTGCAAAACCCTGTAGGGGCTCGGTGGACCTATGGATGCGTCTTCCGAGTTCCAGCCCGCCAAGTGCGGGTTCGAAGGTTGCTGTGTGCCCTTGTCTCAGAGTGACAGTCATCTCTTTTGCCTCCGTCATGCTGCCTGTTGGGTCAACAACATCTTTGACCCGGTGTGTTGCAAGTCGTGTTCTCTGCTTGTTCTCCAGTACTATTCTGATGACATTACTGTTAGAGTACAGGCAGCATCCATGTTGCATGCTAGATTTAGGTTGCTGCAACGTGCTAATGAGTTGGTAATGAGACTTGGGCAGCTTTGGGGGCTGTCCCATTTGTGTTGGGGATGGAGGCATTAGAGCCAGTTCCTCCTGCCGAGGCTTCTGGGTCCCACCAGTAGACCTTCTTTTCAGTCTTTCCCCCTGGACTGTGCCTTTTCTTCAGGGGTAGAGGGTATGGGGGTCTGCTCTGCCCCGGTTCCCAACTTGGGGGATCCCAGGGCTGGGGAGGAGTCGACCCTTTGACCCTGCTAGGGTGTTGGTGCCCTCTTCGTGGGGCTTGTTGTTGCAAGGGATGGGGGTTTTCTTACCTCCCTTCCCTGTATGTGTATGATTTAGGGTCGGATCCTCCCTGGGTTCGGTTCCAGGGTCTCTTGGGTTCCTCAGCCCTGTCCTTCTGGAGGTTTTCTGCCTCTTAAATCTCTCCCAGAGAGGTTCGGGAAGCTCTTCCTGCGTACCTCCTGCGAGACCCAGATTCCGCCTTCGTGATGGATCCGTCCTTATTTGAGTTCGGTTCTTCTTTCCCGTATTGAGGTTCCGGAGTCTTTTTGGCTGGCAGACTGCCCATTCTTTTTGTTGGGGGCATGGCATGGGTTCTGTTGGACCCCACTCTTGAGTAGCGAGAATCTTCTACAGGTTTACCTGGGGGGCAAGTTTGGGGACCTTAATGCATGCTTGTTTGCCCCTGTGCTTTCTTGGGATGTTGGCCTTGTGCAGTTGCACATGCAGGTTTCTACCCTTTTGGCATTCTTGGTTGCTGAGGACTTGCGCGCCCGTGGGCATTTGGCTTCAGTCTTGCGCTTCTTTTCCCTTCTCGAGCTGTCTTCGGCCTGGCTTCAGGAGGATTTGGAGGCATTGAGTGCTGGGCCTTCATCTGGTGTGCTGTCTTCAGCGGCTCAGGCATCAGCAGTGCTGTTGAAGCTGTTTGTGCCTATCCTTTAGAAGGCGGTGACTCTGGTCAATGTGGGCCATAGGTGCCAGCTTCTGAGCGGACATTGCCTTCGGACCCAGCGTCGTCTGGTCTGCGCTATGATCACTGTTCGTTGGCCGCTTCTCTTAATGGACGTTGACCCTTTCACAGTTCTCCCTATCAAGGAGGCTCGTGCTTGGTTCCACGATTCGTGAGCATTTTTGGTCATATCATCCAGTCTGTGGTGGCGTTGGGCGGTTCCTACCCCTTTGGGGGTTTGGGGGTGGCATTCCTTCGGGAATGCCCTTGCACTTCTCTCGCAATTGTTGTGTTTGTACTCTGGGAGGGGGGGCCCTGATTTGGTTGCTGCTCCGCCGGCTTCCTCTCTAAGGTTTTCAGAGTTCAGTGCCTTGGCGCCTACCCGAGCCCTCGCTCGATGTGTTCACGGATGCGTCGTCTCTTGGCTTGGGCTTTGTGACCAGTGCTCACTAGGCCAGTAAGGGGCAATGGGATCCGTGCTTCCGTTGGGCTCACAGCACGGAACGGGGCCCCGCAGCAGATTGGCTGTCGCTTCGGAGGGTTCGGGTCGCTCAGGGTTCGACCATCCGGCTCCATTCGGACTGTTCTCTGTTGGTTCATTGCCTGAACTGTGGGGGTTCTCTTTGGTCCTTTCCTCTTTGGGGCTTGTCACTTTGAGTGGCTCGTCTGCTGGCTTCTCGGGGTTTGGCTCTCCACATGGTTCATAATGTCCTGATGGACGGCCTGTCTCGGTTCATTACCCTGTCAACGAAATAGACAGTCAACGCTGATGCCTTCCGTTGGCTCTATCAGATGTACTGATTCCTGGACATGGAGCTCTTTGTGTCAGTGTGGTTTTGGCATCTCCCACTCTTATGTGGTGCCCTTTCCCGACTGTGAGGCTGTAAAGGTGGGCACCTGTCAGTACGACTGGTCAAGGTGGGGTTACCTGTACCTCTTCCCACCGGTACAACTGTTGCTTCGGGTTCTGGCTTGGTTGGAATCCTACCAAGGGAGAGTAGTCCTTGTGGCCCCCTTGGTGGCTGGCCCAGCCTTGGTTCCAGGCATAGTTTATTTGGTGTGCAAACCCGGGGCATTTTCTGGGGCTCCGCCTCTTCCAGTAGGTTGGACTGGTCCAGTACATAGCTCGTTCTGTCCTCTCCTCCGCTCTTAGCGTGTGGTCTTTTTGACACGGGTTTATCACCATATGTACAGTATGGGGATTAGGTGGCTTCGTTGATGGTGTCCCACTGAGAGCTTCGTCCTGGTGACAGTATGAAGTTTCTTGGCATTCTTTTCGCCATTTTCTGTCTTCATAGGTTGTCTTCTATTTCTGATCGGGTTGTCTTGTTCTTTTTGTCTTGGCTTTTTCAGGACCGTCATTTGATGCCTAATACTGTCGTCTCGTATTGTGCGACACTGGCAAAGCAGCTCCAGCTTGCGTTCGGGGTAGATGGCACTTCTGCCTGAATATCAGCCCTTCTGGGTTGATATTTGCGGGCGGGGATTTTGGAGGTTGAACAGGGGTCCTGGCCACCCGTTATTTGGTTAACATTCCTGGCCCTGGGTGTTCCTGCGTTGCTTTGGGTCGCAGGTTGCAGCCGGTTGTCTCAACTTCGCATTGAGAAGTGTGTAGCGGCTGCCTCCTGGGTAAGTCCCCCTTTTTCCTTATCTTTGGTTATATATCTCCAGGGAGTCATAGGGGCTTCCCACAGAAAACTAACGTTGAATGTAATGAAACACCATTTTCTGGATGAGCCCCGGAGGCTCCCCAGCAACCTTCCCTCCCTCCCTCCCAGTTGGCATTTTTTGCATTGTTTGATGCTTATCTTACGAACTGGAGTGCTATGTATCCGGCGCAGGGAGGGAAAGGCTGTGCGGGCGAGCAACTCGGCGGTGGAGTGTGACGTTTGCTTGTTTCCTTGGGATTGGAGGGAGTTGTGCCCTCTTCAGTTTTTAGTTGTAATTTTCTTACCATGTGGGGTTGTTTTGTTATGCCTACCTATCTGGGTGCCTAACCCCAGTTGATGACAGATAAGGAAAATCCCCAACCACAGGGGGAGGTTTTCCCGAAGCCATTGCTACCTGCAACTTCTCTGAGGGGGGCCAGGTTCTGGCTCGTGGTCACTGGTAGGCTGAACTCCATAGATCTAATGTATCGCATATTAGCCCGATAGCTTCAGGAAGCCTCCGGGTCTCACCCAGAAAATGGCGTTTCATTACATTCAATGCTGTTTTTTTTTTTAACGTGCATCTTAGGTATAGTATTTAAGTTAATGGACTCGCACAGAATTTCGTCTCTGCATCTCTATAGCATCACTCTTGCCCCCAATAACTTTAGACAGTTTCACTCACACACTTCAATATGATTTTCAATAAGTCTTATGTTCTGCTTAAAGTAAAGAACTTTTCTTTTTCAGGTTACTGCATCTCGTGTTCGAACGGAAGTGCGTTCATGGGAGGTTGAGAGGCGGTGTCCCCTCACGCAGACCCTAGTAGATGCAGCACGCACTCATCCTCGCCTTACGGCAGATGCTTGCTGCCTCTACCGTACTTCAAGAACTAACCAAGAATCTCCAAAAATAAAATCTAGGTTAGTAATATGCATTCTTTGCAAACAAATTTGGTTCATGGCTGTTGTTTCCTCATTGAGGTTTAGCCTTCATTTAAAATAGGTAGGTAAATAATTTTGTGTCCTTGTCTTGTACCCATTTGCAAATATTCAACCAACTCTTTATGTAATATTTATTATCAGTGTTATGTAATGTCCTTTAAATGCATTTTTATGTGGTATTTGATACATTACAGTGCAGTTTATCTTGATGTGAGGGTATTTCTTTGCTTTACTTTTGGCTGTGAGGATGAAACTAATTGTTTTGATATGTAAACTTTGGTAAACATGAGTATGGAATTCATTAGTTTTTATGGATTGAAGGTAATGGTTGAGTTAGGAGTGAAAAGTTGAGGGAATAACAGGTAAGAGAGCTTACCATAAGTCTCTGGATGTAAGGTTAACATTTTATCTATAAGTACAGGCATACCTCAGAATACGAGTTTAATCCGTTCCTGGAGACGCCTCGCCTTCCGAAAACTCGCATTCCGAAGTTAATTTCCCCATAAGAAATAAAGGGAAATGAATTAATCCGTTCCTGACTACCCCAAAAACCCCACATCAAACTAAATTTTTATACCTAATTTACCTAATTCATCTAAATAAACCTACAAAACTGTGTTCCAGTTATTACTTACCTTGCTGTCGAGTGCTGTAGGCGTATGGAAGATGGTGAGGAGGGGGGAGGAGGAGAGGAGTTACTGTTTGGAAGGGGAGTCCCCTTCCATAATCACATCACATAACCCCATGCCTTGTAACACTATGGATACCACTTCTCTTTCTAAATTTTTCAAACCAGCCCCTGCTTGCCTTAAACTCTTTCTTATCTGCATCACTCGTTGCAGGGGTATTCTTTAGAAGGTCTTCGTGCAACACCCTGGCTTTCTCACAAATAATGGCCTCCGAAACACTATCACCCCTCAACTCCTTGTCGTGTATCCAAATTAATAACAACTTTTCCACTTCTTCAAGTATTTGTGGTCTTTGTGCCGTTAATGTTCTTACTCCTTTTGCCACTTTAGCACCCATAATCTTATTTTTCTTCTTAAGTATAGTGCATATTGTTGATGTGGCTTTGTTGTACTGCCTACAAAGTTCAACAACACGTGTACCGTTCTCATGCTTCCGAATGATCTCTTGTTTCTCCTCTATTGTCATCCTCACATGAGCTTTCTGGCCTTTATCCTTACCACTGGCTTTCTTGGGACCCATGGTGAGATATATAATAACAAATTGTATAGACAAATCACCAAAAATCAAACAAAACACTGAAAATCCGCGAGAAGAATTGATGTGGGGGTAGTCACTGAGCGCGAGACAATGGTAAACTGAGGGGCGGAGGGGCGACGATCGCCGAACCACCACGCGCTAGGTCGGCCTGTACGCGTATCAACAAACTCGCGTCCCGAAGTAACCCTCGCCTTCTGAGACAAATTTTTGGAGTAAATACTGCTCGCCTTCCGAAAACCTCGCATACAGGGACAATCGCATTCCGAGGTACCACTGTACTCGGTGGACTGCATGTTGTGTGTACCGTGCGGTGTATACTGCCAGAGGCCCAGTGTATGACCTGCTGTGGATCTCTCCAACTAGGAAACACCATTGACCGCACATGGAGGCAAGGGCTGCAAGTGGATTAAACAATTGCAGACAAACATTTGACAGGGAGAACTGAATACATAGGAGATCCAAGTGGTAGACTGGAGTTAGATCTTGAGAAAATATGTAAAGTTAGAATATTTTGATAAAAGTTAAATGATTATAATTGGAGATTTAACAATGTCAATGTTTGGTATGAAAGGAGGAGATTAAATGATAAGGTTGATGTGGAGAGTGCATGTTTCTTAAAGTATGGAGAGCCGAACAAAATGTGAAATACGGAGATGAGCTCGATAGTATACTCGCCTCACTGCAGTGTGGTCAAGGGATCGGAGAAGTGCTCAGGTGTGGAGGTGGGGGGGGAGGCATGAGTTTTATCTTTGACATTTGTGAAAGATCACAGAATGATTGATGTAGTGACTGTTCCATTATATAAATAGAAAGTGTGTGGCAGACTAGTTAAAGAACTAATTAATTTTGAACTAAATAGTCATAAAAGATGAAAGAAGATAGCAAAAATGAGACTATATATAAGGACTAGCTTATATGACATGCTTCTTAGATTTGAGATGATAACAGATAAGAAAGCATCTGCAAAACAGAAAAGATGTTCACTTCTGCTGTGGGCTTGGAGACTTATAATGAAAGCTGATGTAGATGGATTTTGGAAAGTTTTTGATGTGTTATGCAGTTTTGGCTGTATGGCATGAGAAATAGCAGCAGTGTAAATAATTAGTTTAGAGTTAATGAATAAAGATGCATTATGTTCACATAATTAATATTGTTTGGGTGCTTCTAGCTGGTACTTTGTGTAAGTGAAATTAGATGAAGATGAAATAGAATGGCACACTGTGTACCGATACATGCCGATTGTACAGTTTATGAGAGACGGCAGAAGAGTTGCTGTGCTGTGTTAAGTATTTTGATACAAAGCAAGTTGCAAGAGGTTTTGGAAACCCTCCTGCTCAGGGTTCTCTCTCTTAACTACACAGGGTCAGTGCAGTTCTAAACTAGATGGTGATCATTGTATGAGATAGAGAGGAAGGGATTACTGAAATAGTTGGAAGACTTGTGATATGCAGAATGGCAACAGCTGCCTGAACCCTTTTGATGTGGTACCTCAATATTGGCCCCTTCCTTCTTGGGTCCAAATGTTGCTTATTTTGGGGTTACTTGTTGTTATATATATTATAGATCTAAAAAAAAGTTATCAACTGAGAGGGGTTATTCAATAAATTAAATTAAAAGAAAAAGGATAGACTGGGAAAAATTAAAATGGAACCTACAAATATTCAATGGGGAACTGTTCTAAGTACAGTATATATATATATAAAAATGGAAGGAATAGAACTGACTGCTGAAGCACATAAAGTCTGCTTAAAACATGTTCCTTTTTGTAAAGCCAGAAGGAGAACACAGACAGTACTACAGAAGTAGGAAAAAAGTAATGGAAATGCTTAAGCATGTATGACTATCCTTACAAAGAAAGACTAATTAAAACATGTTGACAAAATAGAACAGAGACTAAGGCAATCAGATAAAAGAAACGCAATTAGAACATAAAGCCATACAAGAGATAAAGAAAAATCCAAAATATTTATTCACATATGTGAAGTTGAAATAAAAAACATCCAAGAGGATTAAACCTTTGCTTACAAGTGAAGGATGACAAAGAAATTAGTGAATTCTTAAAAAAGCTATATGATAACATGTTTAGCACTCTAATAAACAGCATAAACAGCATGGAAGTGGAAGATCTGGACAGCTTCTTTGTGTGATATCCAAACCCCTGAACATATAACTGATACCAACACAAACAGAGCAGACTTTGAGAGCTCGACAGCATGTCCACGCACTAAGTCCCGGGTCCAGACTCCTGAAATTCAATATTTATAAAGAAATGTAAAGTGCTAGTAGCACAAGCACTTGGTATAACCTGGAGAAGAAGCTTGCACACAGAGGGGGGGAGATAAAAGAAGTGCTTAAAGCAGCAGATATATCACCTCTACACAAGGGAAAGAACAAAGCATTGGCTAAGAATTATAGACCAGTTGCACTAATGTCCCACATAATACAAGTTTTTGAGAGAGGAATTAGGAGTGAGGTCTCCAGTTTTATAGAGACCAATGACCTCCACAACCCAGGCCAACATGGATTTAGAGCTGGAAGATCATGCTTTTTGCAGCTACTGTACTTGACCACTATGATAAAATCACTGATGCATTACTAGAAAAAGAACGTAGATGTAGTATACATGGACTTTAGTATACAGATGTAGTATACATGGACTTTAGTTTACAGATGTAGTATACATGGCATTTGGTAAATGTAACCATGGAGTGATAGCCCACAAAGTGAGGTCATAATAAATAACAGGTAAAGTAGGGCAATGGATATTCAATTTTCCATCAGAGAATGCAAAGAATAGCAGTCAATTAAATAAAACACAGTGGAAAGCTTTATACCTTTGTACCACATATAAAATGCAGTGAAACCATACTGTAAGAGAGAAAAAGAAGTGCAAAAAAAAGTGGAAGTAATTATGTCAGAAGAACGTAATATTGATGATCACAATAGTCGTAGTCACAACAGCAAAACAAATGAGTCTGGTTAACAAGAACCTTTCAAACAAGAGAAGCCAAACCAGTGATTGTACTTTTTAAGTCACTAGTGCTCTTTTGGGTGGAATATTGTTGTATACAGTACAGTATTAACAAGCCCATTCAAAACTGGAGAAGTTGCTGACCTGGGGAATCTTCAGAGAACTTTGTGCCCAAATATATTCAATAAAACACCTAAATTATTGGGACTACTTAAAATCTCTCAAACTGTACTCCTTGGAAGGCAGGCAAGAGTGAGACAGACAGACATTAATATACACCTGCAAAATATTGAAGAGACTGGTTTCAAATCTGCTCTCTGAAGCAAGTTCTTACATGACCAAGAGACATTGCAAAATTGACAAATAGGGATGCCATAGGTATTCTGAGATAAACAATTCTGTTAGCATTAAGGGCCTCGAACATTTCAAGACCCTCCATCTAAATGTACGGGCCATACCCAGCCTACCTCTTGCAATGTTTGAAAGAAAACTTGATAAACATCTCCATAGAGTATCTATACATAAAATGCAGCTCCCCATTATGTATACAGTACTGTATACAGTACACACACACTTGAAACTAATTTTAATAATTTTATATAGATATTAAATAATGTAATTTGTTCTTGATACTTATTAAAGTACAGTATGTTTAAAATTTTATTTGTAATATCTGATATAAATATTGAATATTTGCTACTGATGTTACTCATTCTTTAGCTGTTTAATAATATTACTCCTCAGTAATATGATTGTTTGAACATTATAGATGCAATTTAAAAATGTAAATAAACTCATTAGAAGGTAAAATTTTGTAAAAGATTTGTTCATTTGATGCATCACGTTAGTGTGATCTCTGTGTGTGTGTCATTAGAAGGTACTTTGAGATTGTGTAAGTGCTTCAAATAATGGGCATGTTTATTTTAGGTTTAGATCATCGGTGCTGATGCGACGGGGGTGTGTGTACAATGACGGCGAGGGTGGCGGAGAGTGTCGGGAACTCTCGTTGCCTGGGACGAGACACTGCTTACGGCATATCATGTATAATGTGGATCAACAGTTGTATACTCACTGCACCGCACGGCACCCAGACAACACGTTGTGTCGGGTGCCCGTATTTGATGTCTCCCATGAGCTTCCACTGTGTTCGCAGCATAGCAAAACACAGGTGAAGTAATTATGTATACTGCTAAATGTTTTTTGCTTCATTGTTAGGTAATTTGATTATTCTGTTATTAATTCTAGTGATATGATTATTTGTAATTAAATTTGGGTAGTACAGTGGAACAATACATCAACAAACCTCCAGTTGAAACTCTAAACTTCCAAGCCAGATTTACTTGCCTGGTTCAATGATCAAGAGTTCACAGGAGCAGGGAATGTGTGGATGTGCTTAGGATGTTGGAACACAGTTCACACACTTGTGGAAAAGTTGACCATCATGTTATAGGTTTAAATTAAAGAATTCCTTAGTGAAATCTACCCATAGAGCAAGGGATATATGAAAAGTATGAGTGGGAACTGAATAGGGCTCCAATCACTTTTTTAATGATTTTCAAAGAAGGTCACAAGATTAGAAGAGAGAGTTGGGGGCCTTGGAAAAGCCATTGCAAAATGGCTAAATTATTTAAAACAAAATTTGATAATTCTTTTTTATGTCCGGTTGCAGACATTTTAATTGAATGAAATTTGGGTCCTTCTTCCTTTGAAAATGAGATTTCAAGGCAAGGGTGTGGGATATATGCTAGATGTAGCTAGATTACAGATGGGTTCTCTTGGTAGGTGTCCTTCATATGATAGGTTGAAATTAAAATGTTGCCGAGGGACATTAGCCCCATGTAGAAGGACCGAATATTAGGGTATGAATGGTAACTGGTACTATGGCTCCAATTATGTTTTTAATTTTCATAGGTGGTCGTAACATTACAAGAAACACTTGCAGCATTTTACTGTCAAAAAAAAATTCGTGCAAATGCCTCCAGTTGCAAAAAATTGGGGTTGGTCCTATATAGTTTGTAGACTCAAGGTTATACTGTACTGTAATTTATTTTTCTTCAAACCAGTTTCATAAATTTACTTTTCTGTAGTTTCAGATTTAATATGTTCTTTACAAATTTTTGAATGAAAAGTCCACATTAATAAATGGAATTAACAACATTTTGGCTGCAGCTAAAAATTTAATTTTGAAATTTGCATTTTGTTAGTGAGGTAAAGAAACGCTTTGCCAGACTTGTGGTTTTATTGATCAAATAATTACAGTGCAGTTACATCCTGCAATAATACCAAGTCATATAATATACTATACATATTTACAGTTTAAGCACTGTCTATTGACTATAACAATAAGCAAACTGCATATGACTAAAGCTAGAACAAACAGCAAGTAAGAGAGTACATTCCACCGACTTGTATACATGCAAGACACAGCTGATCTCCCGGTCACAAAAACAACAACAGTCAAACAAGCATCCATCCAGTACAATAACAACTCCACCCTGATACGATAGATACAATACTTTTACTACATTTATTATCTGGATTGTACCTGGATGGGGTTCTGGGAGATCTACTCCCCAAGCCCAGCCTGGGGCCTAGCTTAAATTGTGAGTGCTTGGTCCAACAGGTTGTTGGTTGGAGCAGCCCACAGGCCCACACATCCACCACAGTCCAGTTGGTTCAGCACTTCTTGCAAGAACAGTATCCCGTTTTCTCTGGAAGACATCCACGTTTGTTCTGGCAATATTTCTTGTGCTCGCTGGGAGGATGCTGAACGACTGTTGACCTCTGATGTTCATGCAGTGTTCTCTGATTGTGTCTATGGCATCTCTGCTCTTCACTGGTTCTGTTCTTCATTTCCTTTCATGTCGTTCATTCCAGTATGTTGTTATTTTACCGTGTAGATTTGGGACCTGGCCCTCCAGTATTTTCCATGTATATATTATTTTATACCTCTCTCGTCTCTTTTCTAGGGAGTACATTTGGAGAGCTTTGAGACGATCCCAATAGTTTAGATGCTTTATCGTGTCTGTGTATGCTGTGTGTGTTCTCAGTCTTCCCTCTATTTCAGCAATCTCTCTTGCTCTGAAGGGGGAAGTGAGTATTGAACAGTACTCAAGATGAGACATCACAAGTAATTTGAATTGTACAACCATTGTGATGAAATCCTTGGATTTGTAGGTTCTCATAAGCCATCCTATCATTTTTTTCTCTCTGATGCTATATTTGCTTGGTTATGCTCCCTAAACGTTAAGTTGTTAGACATCATTATTCCCAGATCCTTTACATGCTGCTTTCCTATTATGGGCAGATTTGATTGTGTTTTGTACCCCTGTATTTTGTTTAAGGTCCTAATGTTTACCATACCTGAGTACCTGGAATTTATCACTGTTAAACATCATGATATTTTCTGCACCCCAGTCAAAATCTTTTATTTATATCTGCTTGTAGATTTTCAATGTCTTCAACAGAAATAATTTTCATGCTGATTTTTTGTCTCATCTGCAAAAGATGACATGAAGCTGTCTTGTATTTTTGTGTACATCTGATACAAGAATAAGGAAAAGCAGCGGTGCAAGGAATGTACCCTGTGGTACAGAGCTTTTAACTGCACTTGGACTCGATTTGATTTGGTTGACTGTTACTCTTTGTGTTTTGTTCGACAGAAAATTGAATACCCAGCGTCCTACATTACCAGTTATTCCCAATGACTTTATTTTGTGAGCTACTTCATGGTCACATTTATCAAATGCCTTTGGGAAGTCTGTGTATAACACATCTGCATTTTGTTTTTCTTCCAATGCCGCAGTGATTTTGTCGTAGTGGTCAAGTATCTTTGAGTGGCATGATCTTCCTGCTCTAAATCCATGTTGGCCTGGGTTGTGGAGGTCATTGGTCTCCATGAAACTAGAGACCTGACTCCTAATCACACTCTAAAATATTTTTATTATGTGGGACGTTAGTGCAACTGGTCTATAATTCTTAGCAAATACCTTACTTTCTCCCATGTGTAGGAGAGCTATATCTACTAATTTAAGTGCATCTGGCATTTTCCCCGTGTCCAAGCTCTTCCTCCACAATATACTGAGTGCCTGTGCTACTGGCATTTTGCATTTCTTTAAAAATATTGAATTCCATAAGTCTGGATCCAGGGCCGAGTGCATGGGCATGTTGTCAATTTCTCTTTCAAAATCTGCAGCATTCATGTTGATATCAGTTATATTCTCAGGTTTGGATATCGCACATTAAGAAGCTGTCCGGATCTTCTACTTTCAGCTATTTATTGGGGGTGCTAAACATGCCCTCATACTACTTTTTCAGGATTTCACTTATTTCTTTGTTATCCTCTGTGTATAAACCTTTACTTATAAGAATAGGTGCAATACTAACCGTGGTTTTTGCTTTTGATTTCCCGTATGTGAAGAAATATTTTGGAGTTTTCTTTATCTCTTGTCTGGCTTTTTGTTCTAATTGCAGTTCTTCAATCTGATACGAATGCTTCAGTCTCGATTTCCTCAATCTCCCTGTTTAAATAATTATTCCTTCTTTGAAGGGCTAGTCATGCCTGCTTAATCATTTCTCTTATTTTGTTTTCTTCTTTTTTAGTTCCATCTGCATTCTCTAAGTTGGTCCTCTTTCTGGCTTTCCGCAAAAGAACATGTTTCAGACAGACTTTATGTGCTTCGGAAGTCAGTTGTTCTATTCCTTGTGTGGGATTTCTATTACGGTATTGTACTTGGAAATGTTTCTTACATTTCAGTTAATTACATTTCTATTAAGTGAAAAAGACCTTCTCTTTCTAACTGTATACACTTCTAACTTTCTAAAATATACACCTGTACATATATCACAAAAAATGTTATGACAAAAACAAGTTTTTTTTTAACTACGCTATTTCACCAGGTGTGTTCAAAACACCCACTAACTTTAAAGTAATTACATTTCTCTGAATTCATTATTTTCCCTAAACACCTTTCTTATTCTCCATCACGCATTCCAAACATCTAAATTTAGGTATGTGCTCGGTATGTGCTCCACCTTGTGCTTTCTGGGTGATTAATTCCATGATTGTGTTCTGATTTTCAGGAAAATAATGTTAAAACCGTTTTGGAAGAGATTCCAAAGCCTAAAAGATCTCGGAAAAAGAACAAAATGCCAATTTTGTCGAGATACGGCAAGCGAAGCAAGAAACGGAGGAGATCTTCCAATTCTATGTGTTCAGTGATTCCATCTACCAGTGTACGACCCCCTATGGCCAGTCAGTCTTCACTCTCCTCCCCACAGCCTTCCCCCACAACCCCACAAACTTCCCCACATTTCTCAACAGCTTCATGTACAGGTCAGTCTGGGGATTTTGATTGGTATTTTTTTTTTTATATATAAGTAGCTCTTTTAAATATCATTGAGAAATTGTCCATGTTGCATACAGATGATTCTCTCCAGATTATTTATCACTTACGTGTCCCTCTCTGAGCATCACATCCCATGCTCAGTCTCCCTCTCTGAGCATCACATCCCATGCTCAGTCTCCCTCTCTGAGCATCACATTCCATGCTCAGTCTCCCTCTCTGAGCATCACATCCCATGCTCAGTCTCCCTCTCTGAGCATCACATCCCATGCTCAGTCTCCCTCTCTGAGCATCACATTCCATGCTCAGTCTCCCTCTCTGAGCATCACATCCCATGCTCAGTCTCCCTCTCTGAGCATCACATTCCATGCTCAGTCTCCCTCTCTGAGCATCACATTCCATGCTCAGTCTCCCTCTCTGAACATCACATCCCATGCTCAGTCTCCCTCTCTGAGCATCACATCCCATGCTCAGTCTCCCTCTCTGAGCATCACATTCCATGCTCAGTCTCCCTCTCTGAGCATCACATTCCATGCTCAGTCTCCCTCTCTGAGCATCACATTCCATGCTCAGTCTCCCTCTCTGAGCATCACATTCCATGCTCAGTCTCCCTCTCTGAGCATCACATCCCATGCTCAGTCTCCCTCTCTGAGCATCACATCCCATGCTCAGTCTCCCTCTCTGAGCATCACATCCCATGCTCAGTCTCCCTCTCTGAGCATCACATTCCATGCTCAGTCTCCCTCTCTGAGCATCACATTCCATGCTCAGTCTCCCTCTCTGAGCATCACATTCCATGCTCAGTCTCCCTCTCTGAGCATCACATTCCATGCTCAGTCTCCCTCTGAGCATCACATCCCATGCTCAATCTACCCCTCTGAGCATCACATTCCATGCTCAGTCTCCCTCTGAGCATCACATCCCATGCTCAATCTCCCCCTCTGAGCATCACATTCCATGCTCAGTCTCCCTCTGAGCATCACATCCCATGCTCAATCTCCCCCTCTGAGCATCACATTCCATGCTCAGTCTCCCTCTGAGCATCACATCCCATGCTCAATCTCCCCCTCTGAGCATTGCTTTCAATGCTCCACACCACCTTGTGAGCCTCACATTCCATGCTCAATTAATCTCCCTCGCTGAGCATCATAATCCATGCTGCTTCTATGAGCTTCACATATGTCTCATGCACAGAGAAATCCCATTAATGTGGTATCAATGAGAAAATCAGTAGGAGCCGTGATGAGGATTCGAACCTATGCTCTGGGTACTCCCAAGCACACATCTTAGACCTCTAGACCTTGACATGGTCAAAAGGATTGCAACCAGGGAATTGTGGGAGAGATTTCTGGCAGGAGTTATTTGATTTAATTTACTACAATTTATTATTTACTTTAATTATATTTTTTTTAATTAATGAATGGACTGTAATTTTAAATAATTTAAGTGGACTGTTTTTGATCTAGGTTCTCTGCCAAGTATCAACCCTTCCACACTATTGGGGGGTTTTAATTTTGAAATCTATACCACTTAAGGCGGTTAACAAGACTATGTGATTAGTATTCTACAAATTAGTGTAAATAATTGAGCTTAGCTCTAATGTCATAACGGCCTGGTAAGAAGCTCTCGTTGTCCTTCAGTCACAGTCAGGATACCTCATAGGTAGACAATGTAATGGCGACTTAAGAATTCTTCTGGAACTACAGGTCAATACGGTGTCTTCTCTTTTTGTCTTGAACTGCATTTGCCGAGAGGATTGACTAGGAATAAGTTGATTACAAGACATATATAGCACATTCAAGGAGATTGATTGATTAGTTGGAATGAAGCTTACCCAGTTTTGGGGGTTTTGCTTATGTCATAACCGAAACAACTAATTAGCTATAACCAACGGCCAGCAATATAAACTATTAATATTGTCTCGAATAACACTTCCAATAACACTATGTTTGTAGAGCTCGTCGGTTGGGCAGAATTTTCTATCCTGTGTGGCAAAGTTTAAGGGAGGAAGCACATACTAATTGCCACAGAGCATCACAGTCCGCGCATCTGGGGAGTCGTGTGCTTACTGGCGTGAGCATGGCTAACGCCTCTCCCTTCCTCTCATCCATTCTAGATGCGTCTAGTTTATCGAATCTACTTATCAGTTATAGGAGGAAGAGACTTATTTCATTATAAATTATTGATATATCCAGTTGTAATAAATAGTTTTCTTAATTTTTTAACTATTTAACTGGAAACATTGCATTTATTAGGAGAAACATTGAGTACTCCGACTGCTTGGCTGACGCCAAACTTTCCCAGACTTGCGTGGGAATAATTTGCTACGACTTTCTCAATATATTCAATAGTGTTAGTATGATTAGTATAAACCCGACATAACCCTTCCATCTAGGTATGCCAGGGGTTAATAACTGAGGTCGGAAATTTCTGACAGGAATCTACTGAATCCACGAGGGTTCCTGAGGCTTCTACTGAAGCCGAACCAGGGTTTCATACAATTCCCCCATGCACTCTGGCTCCATCCATCACCCAGGAATTCTACCTCTAACGCTTCCTCTTTAAATACACAGATAAATCACATTATGATGTATCAATGAAAAAATCAGCAAGAGCTGTGATGAGGATTTGAACCTATGCTCTGGGTACTCCCTAGCACACGCCTTAAACCACTAGGCCATGACATGGTCAAGTTGTGGCCTCATTTGAGCCAGAGATAGTTAGTTCTGGGACACCATATATATATATTGGCTTGTTGTTCCAATTGAAGATTAACTCCGTGGTGTTCTCAGATGTCGAGTAGCACTTGGAAGGAGTTTTTGAGTGGAAATTGGTGAGCCTCCTGAATGTCATTCCTAATTGGATTGAGTAATATATACTGTATTATCTCCATTACCCCAGTGTGATCTGGTGAGAATGTTTAAAAATAGGCTGATTGCACCAGAGAGAAATGTAGACATGTCCTGTATGTATATAATTGTGTCTATAGGAAAGGCAGGAGCTTACCCAAGGCAGCAACTGACTATTATTCTCAGAAAGGAGCTTTATATTTATACTCAAAGCCATGTTTTTATGTTCTTCATTTTGTTAGCCATTTCTCTTATGTCAGTTGACATATTCCTAAACATTTATCAAGTCTTGAGATGGGTGCACTGTTATATAGCATAAGTTATCTGCGTTTAGAAGTGATGATTGCGACCTCGTGCAAACAGATTCTGTGGCTGAAGCAGAGGAGAGTGAACTAGATGACGACATGGAGGGTATGGTAGAAGGCCTCGATGCAGCATCTCGTCTGTTGGACCCGCGTGACCTCCAAGATGTCTTGAACCGTATCCCAGATCATGAGTTAACACAGCTCTTTGATGCTCCAGGTGATATATGCCGTTCATGTTCTGTATGTGCATGGAAACTGCAGGATTTTCATTTATTGCCCATACACCATTACTCTGCTTTATGTACAATAACTAATCATTCACCTATTCAGCATTATATTGTATGTTGAATTTTGTTTCCAAATTATAGTAAATGACTAAGAGTTAATATGGTTGTACCATGTTTAGTGCTCCTTGTGCAGTGTTGACTCATTATAGCACTGTTTGTTTCAGAAATATTATAAAAAATTCCAATAAGTAGAGTAATATCTATCAGCGGACCATTACTTAGCAAGGCATGCTTTTTTGGGGGAACTACTAAGGTCCCCACTTGAAAGGGCATTTCAATACATTTGAACGCTCAATTGCTTCAAACATCTTTTGTTTTGATGTGTTTGAATAAATGACCAATGACTGTTTTCTTGTATTGTGAGATACGCTGTTGCAGGAATTCCACAGGGGTCACCTTCATGCAGTCAAACAGTATCTAGTTGGATTCTCGGTTTTGATGATTTTATAAGATTTATAAGATACAGCATCACAGGCTGGGTAATTGATGTCTCTGGTTTTAGCTTTGAGGCCTTCATTCATCAGTAACTTGTCTTTGTATTAATAAGATAATACTGCTTAGCATTCTTTACTGTAATAAAAGCTATGTTTATAATGAAATAGAGTATCATTATTTTAATAACTAGTTTTGGTTGCAGAAGGTAAGACGGGAGAGTTCGAGAATGCTGCAGACGACAAGGGTGAGATAGACACAGATCGGGGTGATGATGACGATGATCACTCAATAGGTTCTCCAATACAAGCTCATAGTCCCCCATGTACAACTCCAACTGTTGCTGCAGCCACCACCACCACCACTACCACCACCACCACTGCCTCGTCTACACCTCCATTAACGGAAGAAGGCACTACGCTAAGTTTGGACGAATCCACCTTAAATGAACTTGTTGCTGGTAACATCCCAATAGACTCTATTATCTCTTCCTCCTTCAACCAGCAAGAGCTTAACACTATATCACAGGCTTTGTCCAATATTGTACAGGAAAATAATATTAATCTTGCAGGATTTGACCTCAGTGCAGGTAATTCTTTTTCTGCTTCTGAAGCAGGAGGGTCTGGTCCGGTGGGAGATGTAAGTGATAATTCACTCATGTCGCAGGCCAGTGATGGAGTGGGCCAAGCAGACTTTAGTGAATCGGGACGTCCAGTATCTGATTGTAAAGTTAATTTATTAAGTCACTGCCCTGGAATTATAGGAGACACTGCCACACTCTCCCCATTAAAATAATTACATGCTGGTGTTACTACTCATCATTGTAGGCATCTTCATTGTTGGTCACGCTGAATAATGTGGAAAGTAGAGTGCGTTAATACAATATGGATGGGTTACCTTGATTGGTGTTCTCTTTAAATACAGTAATGTTTTATACAGAAACATATTTCTTTGTCATTTTTATCTGCATTGTTTTCAGTCAGTGTGTAAATGGTAATATAAGACAAAGTTGAATTGTGATTGCAACCATTTAGTCATATTGTTACATTCACTCGGATTTGTTGTCATGCGGTGATTTCTGCGGCAAAAGTCAGTTATCTCAAGTGGCTGAGTGCAGCTCAAGCGCATTACTAGTTGCAGATGTGTGCTTAGTACAAGGTCATCTTCAATTTTTAACCTTTTTTTTTTTTTATATGTATATAGATTTGTTCAATGAGTTCAAGAATATTTAATATGGAACTGCTTGGGGCATATTTTGATTTGCATTGATTGACATATTTATTATTAGTAATTTATGCACGTCAAAAAATGACTTGAGTTCACCAAATTTCCATGATTATTTTTTTTTTTTTTTTTTTTTTTTTTGTGTCTTTATAATATATGACCTGATTTAATAGTTGAAAACTGGCATGTGTATTTTACATATCTGAGCTGTGTACAGGCAAGAGGCACTGGGGTTCTGAGGAGTTGTGCATTGGGAGGGGTATGCTGTATATAAACCATGCATGTTATTGGTATCCATTGTGGTGGAAATGTTGTTTGATACTGTTAGTAGAAGCATTAAAAACTATCTGCTAATTTTGAGGCGTTTTTCCAAGAGTGTGTGTGTGTGTGTGGCTCGGCTCGGACCACACGGCGACCAAGACACTGGTATTCTGGACAGTGTACGAGGTTGCAGGCTCATGGCGTCTGTGGGGATTGGCATGAATTACAAGTTTTTATTGTCATTATTATTATTATTTATTATTATTGTTATTGTTACTATTATGAGGCCTATGGTGTCTTTGAAAGGTAGAGCTTTGTTGTGTCCCTTAAGGAATGCTGTATTCACGTCCTCATTGGCTTGCTAATGAGAGATTGCTAAGTTATCTGTGTGCTCTTTTGTTCCTTCATACTTGGCATGTTGACATTATTGCCTTCTGTGGACTATAGTAAACCAAACATGCAGAGTCTTTGTCCAGTGATGTAAACTCTGGGTCAGTGGTGTGTGGTGGTGTGAACTGTGGGTCAGTGGTGTGTGGTGGTGTCAACTGTGGGTCAGTGGTGTGTGGTGGTGTCAACTGTGGGTCAGTGGTGTATGGTGGTGTGAACTGTGGGTCAGTGGTGTGTGGTTGTGTGAACTGTGGGTCAGTGGTGTGTGGTGGTGTCAACTGTGGGTCAGTGGTGTGTGGTGGTGTGAACTGTGGGTCAGTGGTGTGTGGTGGTGTGAACTGTGGGTCAGTGGTGTATGGTGGTGTGAACTGTGGGTCAGTGGTGTATGGTGGTGTGAACTGTGGGTCAGTGGTGTGTAGTGGTGTCAACTGTGGGTCAGTGGTGTGTGGTGGTGTCAACTGTGGGTCAGTGGTGTGTGGTGGTGTGAACTGTGGGTCAGTGGTGTGTGGTGGTGTGAACTGTGGGTCAGTGGTGTGTGGTGGTGTCAACTGTGGGTCAGTGGTGTGTGGTGGTGTCAACTGTGGGTCAGTGGTGTGTGGTGGTGTGAACTGTGGGTCAGTGGTGTGTGGTGGTGTGAACTGTGGGTCAGTGGTGTGTAGTGGTGTGAACTGTGGGTCAGTGGTGTGTCGTGGTGTGAACTGTGGGTCAGTGGTGTGTGGTGGGAACTGTGGGTCAGTGGTGTGTGGTGGTGTGAACTGTGGGTCAGTGGTGTGTGGTGGTGTGAACTGTGGGTCAGTGGTGTGTGGTGGTGTGAACTGTGGGTCAGTGGTGTGTGGTGGTGTCAACTGTGGGTCAGTGGTGTGTGGTGGTGTCAACTGTGGGTCAGTGGTGTGTGGTGGTGTGAACTGTGGGTCAGTGGTGTGTGGTGGTGTCAACTGTGGGTCAGTGGTGTGTGGTGGTGTCAACTGTGGGTCAGTGGTGTGTGGTGGTGTCAACTGTGGGTCAGTGGTGTGTGGTGGTGTGAACTGTGGGTCAGTGGTGTGTGGTGGTGTCAACTGTGGGTCAGTGGTGTGTGGTGGTGTGAACTGTGGGTCAGTGGTGTGTGGTGGTGTCAACTGTGGGTCAGTGGTGTGTGGTGGTGTGAACTGTGGGTCAGTGGTGTGTGGTGGTGTGAACTGTGGGTCAGTGGTGTGTAGTGGTGTGAACTGTGGGTCAGTGGTGTGTGGTGGTGTGAACTGTGGGTCAGTGGTGTATGGTGGTGTGAACTGTGGGTCAGTGGTGTGTAGTGGTGTGAACTGTGAGTCAGTGGTGTGTGGTGGTGTGAACTGTGGGTCAGTGGTGTGTGGTGGTGTGAACTGTGGGTCAGTGGTGTATGGTGGTGTGAACTGTGGGTCAGTGGTGTGTGGTGGTGTCAACTGTGGGTCAGTGGTGTGTGGTGGTGTCAACTGTGGGTCAGTGGTGTGTGGTGGTGTCAACTGTGGGTCAGTGGTGTATGGTGGTGTGAACTGTGGGTCAGTGGTGTGTGGTGGTGTGAACTGTGGGTCAGTGGTGTGTAGTGGTGTGAACTGTGGGTCAGTGGTGTGTGGTGGTGTGAACTGTGGGTCAGTGGTGTGTGGTGGTGTGAACTGTGGGTCAGTGGTGTGTGGTGGTGTCAACTGTGGGTCAGTGGTGTGTGGTGGTGTGAACTGTGGGTCAGTGGTGTATGGTGGTGTGAACTGTGGGTCAGTGGTGTGTAGTGGTGTGAACTGTGGGTCAGTGGTGTGTAGTGGTGTGAACTGTGGGTCAGTGGTGTGTGGTGGTGTGAACTGTGGGTCAGTGGTGTGTAGTGGTGTGAACTGTGGGTCAGTGGTGTGTGGTGGTGTGAACTGTGGGTCAGTGGTGTATGGTGGTGTGAACTGTGGGTCAGTGGTGTGTAGTGGTGTGAACTGTGAGTCAGTGGTGTGTGGTGGTGTGAACTGTGGGTCAGTGGTGTGTGGTGGTGTGAACTGTGGGTCAGTGGTGTGTAGTGGTGTGAACTGTGGGTCAGTGGTGTATGGTGGTGTGAACTGTGGGTCAGTGGTGTGTGGTGGTGTGAACTGTGGGTCAGTGGTGTGTAGTGGTGTGAACTGTGGGTCAGTGGTGTGTGGTGGTGTGAACTGTGGGTCAGTGGTGTATGGTGGTGTGAACTGTGGGTCAGTGGTGTGTAGTGGTGTGAACTGTGGGTCAGTGGTGTGTGGTGGTGTCAACTGTGGGTCAGTGGTGTATGGTGGTGTGAACTGTGGGTCAGTGGTGTATGGTGGTGTGAACTGTGGGTCAGTGGTGTGTAGTGGTGTCAACTGTGGGTCAGTGGTGTATGGTGGTGTGAACTGTGGGTCAGTGGTGTATGGTGGTGTGAACTGTGGGTCAGTGGTGTATGGTGGTGTGAACTGTGGGTCAGTGGTGTATGGTGGTGTCAACTGTTGCTAAGAAATGTATGGTGGGCTTCATTAGGTACAACAATATATTATCAACAACAATGTTTTTTTCCTGATTGGATAATAAAAGAAAGTTTCGTCGGTTATATTTTAGTTGGTGTATTGCAGTCTTTGCCGTTGAATGTCATTATTACCAGGACAATGAACTTGCCTCGTGTGTGCATGCAACCAGGTACGATCACGTGCACATGCATGTAGGGGGGTGTACTTGCATATATGTATATAATATGTATAGATGTGTGTGCGTGCGTGTGTGTTCTGGGTGTGCCTGGGACTGATAGTTTTTGGTCAGGTTAGGCTTGACCATTAGTGGTTGAATATTTATTTATACCCATTTGCATAAAGCTAAAACCAAATTTTGGAGGAGGTTAAAAACTTCTATTGTATATGGTAATTTTTTTTTATGTATAATTAGGCATCTCCCATAGGGATACTTTAGTCTTGATTTTTTCATGTATTTGACTTGACTTTGAAACTGAGCTGCCTAGTAGTTGTCATAAACTAGGCATGTATATCTGCCGCTACTGCACTCTAAAAGAGATGCCTGAGAGCTGATTGATCTGATAGGTACTTACATTTCAAGCAAGCTTTATTGTTCAGATACTTGATCCAATTCGAGTAGTGATTTTTGTGCCAAATGTCATGTTCTGTTACCATTATATTTGGCTGTACTGTACTTAGTTATAATTGCACTCTTGGCTTCTCAGCTTCCATAAATTTGTATGCCATTCAGTATCTCTCAATGTCAACTTTCTGGCCATTAGTTCATTAGTATGAATCCCTTGCACAACATTACAATAACATATTTATGAAAATTGCAGATAGAAAAAATGGAGGATGAGGAGGATTATCAATTTATAATGAGGAGGTTGAAAAATGGCCTAAATCGAGCAATATTTTTAGCTTGTGCTGGAAGGTGTTTCCAGTAATGGGTTGGGATGATACATGAGACAGAGTTGGTTTGTGAAACATTAATATGACTTGTTGGTGTCCAGCAAATACTACACTAATTATTGAGTACAGTATTCAGTTGAAGGAGATGATTTTTGTTCAGTTTCTCATTTTCCTCATTCATTTTCCATACTATATTCCATTTAGCTCATTGGTACATTGCTAATATTACTTAGTGTGATACCTTGTTAAAGCAAGGCACTTGCTTGGGCTTGACCTTTGTATCCCTTCTACCTCAGTTTGAAAGTGATCTCATTTCTTCAATTGGCCTGTGTTTGATGTGCTGATGCCTTGGAAGGTACTGTTGTTTAGGGAACAGCTTCATTCCAAACTTCTCCTTCATCTTTTATATTTGTGCGTGTGTTAAAACTCTCTAAGGAATACTTCCAGCAATTGACAAAATAATATAATTTTTAAGAATATATATACATATGTATGCTGCACTTTCCACAGTATGTTGCCTAGAATTATGCTATGATCCTGATTTGCCGTTTAACTTTAATTTAAATTACTCGCCAGATTTCTTCAGCACCTTGTATACATCTCTCTGACACTACTATTCAAATTACAAATGTTTTAAAATCTAGACACCTACAGTATTGTAGGGGTACAATCTTATGTTAACTTCTGAAAATGTTAAATGCCTTTAACGTGAATATCAGCTGTGACAAAGATTTGGAGTTATATTCGTGATGTGCTACCGTCTTTGTACTCGTCTAATTTATCTCGGTACACTTAAGGTCGAGCTGGCAAAAATTTTCATCGCTAAAGTTCTTCTGTAGGAAAATATGCATCATGGTTCAAGAATGTGATTTGCACTCTTATAATATAATTTTTAATGGCACTATTTAAAAAAAAAAAAAGTTAGCCTCATTGTGGGTGGAAAAAGTGTACTTTAGCTTGAACTGGCAGATTCGTAATGGACACATTCCGCTGTAAATGAACTTCTGTTGTCTCTGAAAGTTTGATTTATTATTATTGCAAATGATAAAAAAAACTATTTTGCACACATTTTGATACCTAAATTATTTGGAAAAGTATACGCTGTTTGTAAATATTTTGTTGATTTTCATTAAGTCCTTTACAGCACTGATTTGTGGTATAGCAGTTGCATGGTCTCACTCCATTGGAAATCCTTCATTATTTTCCATAGTAATCATGTGTAATTATAACACTGTCAGAATGAGCTTCTTTTGTTGCATCCAACTTTTCATTTTATGGAGTTCCATTTTAGTGATTGCCCACTGTACTATATGGTACTGTACTTTTAACAATTTACACAACCAACAAAGGTAGCCATCTAATATTTATTTTCATTTAGAACATTATTGGTAGTTCTTTTATTCATGAAATGTGCTAATAAAACACTTCTTTATTTCCACTAGCTTGTTGCATGGATTTAACTTTTGTGTATTATTTACTAGTATTTGTATTTACTTTTGGTATCTGGTATCTTAGCTGCATATAA